AAAATCGCTTCACCGTGTCCTACTCGAAAAGCTAAAAATTTAAAAAACACATATCCATTTTTACCAATGTAGATTAACCTCGGTTTAATTTACTTTTTGCTTTTATCTAATTCTTACAAAAAAAAAAAAAAAAAAAATAGAAAGTAAAGTTAAACTTAACTCAAAATTAATCTACATTGATAGATGTTAGACTTTTATCGAACGTGTTTATTGAACGTTGTGCTTGAATTATTCAGTCAATGAGAATCGTATTTCGTAGGAAGCATCCGCTATACTTGAATCTGCTATCTACTACAGTTGGTAATTGCGGTAAATTAAATGCAGAGTTCGCGCAAACGACCGCGATAAAAAGGACATAAAAAGGCATAAAGTACAAAGACGGTTGGCCGTCGATCATCCATCATAACTTGGACGAAACGCACTTGGGCTTACGTTTACGTTGTTATTATTCGGCGCAAGAGAGATTTCGTCCTCCGTAAATTCCGCGTCCGGCGGGCATGCATGTGCGACTGACGCTCTAATTCCTTAGTTAATTTCGCGGAGAAATCGATGACGGTCGACGGCTCGGATGGCTTAAGACCGAACTAATTTATCGCGAGCCTCTCCGTTGCATAACGTCGCGTGACCGGTAGATACGCCCGCGACCCATAAAGAGAACCGTTCGCAATTTTTTTGTCGTGCGATACGATACAACAAACGACGCTTACGAGGTGTTTGCGATAAGCATGAGTTTCATGAACAGGAGGAAACATTTTTTCGTAACGTTTTTCTTCTTCTTCTTAACGAGAATACCGAGAGGTCGAATCAGGTGGGTTGAATTCGGGAGGCGGATAGAGGAGGATTAGAGGAAATTAAATTCCGGGATACGTTAACAAATTTTGCACAGATTAATAGAACGATTAATGAAAATGAGATTTAATACAATCTCGACGTCTCCGATATCTCTAGTGATATGTGATAAATATTATGCACCTGAGAAGCTTGTACTATCTAATTTCGTATTATCTCGAAATAAGCCTTGGAGCGTAAACGTGAGAGACAAGCGCGAACATATATGTCGTAAGGTTTGTCGATAGATGAGTTCTATCCTACCCTACGGCTCATCATTTATCGTTTGCCACTATGCCTAAGGGCCTGTGTTTTCAGGCGATAATATCACGATAATAACACACACGGTCACTGTGTCGACATCGTGGACGTCGCTTCCTTCCGCTTCGCGCTATCGGCGACGACGACGGCGACGACGACGGCGACGACTAAAAGGTTCGTCCCGATTAGATAATGAAACGTGCATCCACCGTGGTCTCCAGAGGCAAACTCCGTCGTTGGGACTTGATGCGCGATGTCCGACTGGTGTCGAATCGCCACGTCAGCGTACGATCGTTGACCAAATCGATACCTTCGAAGATTGCGAGAGGTCAAAGGACGTAAAGGCGAAAAAAACTGAACAAAGCGGAAACTTAGGAAGTGCAAGGGATAAAAAGGGAGACCGAATGGATTATTAAAGATTTTTTTTTATAGAATGAATTTTAAAAGCTGAATGCCAAAAGAAGGTCCGAGAAGGAAAGTCAGTCCTGACGCGCGATTGATTATCCAAAGTGGAAAAGGTCGACCGCGATCAAACGGTCTTCATTTAACTCGAATCAACGTTAGATTCGACGACGTACATCGATTTTCTAGAGTAGAAACGACGATCAAGCTTTAGCAGAAATTTATGTTGAATTAATGTGCAAAACATTCACACTTCTTTCCGCAACTTTATTATTATTATTATTATTTTCTTTCTTTCTTTTTTTTTAATTCAAGTTCTTTTACGTTACCGTGTAATAAACTCGATCGAAATGAAAGAGTTAAGACCGCGTGACGAATTCCACCTCGTTAACAATCGTGACCGTCGACCGGCGTATAAATTGCAAACTGCACACTCCTCGCTCTCTAATTACGATCTCGGGGTGGGTGGGAGGAGGGGGGGGCGGTCCTAACGAGCTCGCGAGCGACGTCGTGATCGCTTTCATAAAGTCACTAGACTCCATTCCACAGGGAGGATCGAAATGCGATGTTGTGCGTGCATTCGCACGTGCTAGGATCAACCACCCATCTATTCGG